GCTGGCTGCTCCCCGTAATGCCATCCCTTCAGCGCCGCCGTCCAGCGAGGCAGAGCCGCTCCAAGGTGCGCGTGCCGACGCACGGGGGGAATTCCTGCAGGAAGAGCTTGCAGACTTTCCTAGGAGACAACAGGACAGCTGAACTGAGTTGCTGTTGGAGCGGAACTAGGAACGGTAATTCCCAGACACCCTCCCAGGCACTGCTCCCCGCTCCCCACCCACTGGAAAGCGGGTTCAGCTCTGACCTCCGCCAGTTCTGCTCCATGAAATGCTGGGGTATGGCCAGCCAAGGGGAGGACACAGACTGGGCCGTGGGATTACGGGGGGAAGCACAGCAGTGTTCACCCCAGGGAAAACCAACTTCAGCAGGGGCCCGGGCAGAGGGAAGCACGAGGGGCCTGGCATTACCGATTTACCTGCTGCTGCGGCTGGTGAGCTGACAGGGTTGTCACCAAAATCACAGGGGCCATCGCTGCTGACAGCCCGAGCAGGAGTCTGGGGCTCGGAGCGACAGGAGGCACGTTGGTAACACGACAGCACCGGTGGGAATTCAGGTCTTCGGCTGCGTGTGAAGACTGAAGGGACTTGTGCCAGTGATGTCACCCCGCAGAAGATCCAGTTATTCTGTACATTTCTTACTCGTTCAAAATTCCACGTTCCTTAACCAAAGGGCTCTGCCCAACTGAATGCAACTCCTAGTGCTCCCGGCTGAAGGGAAGAGGCACGGACTGCACCCGCACCCCAAATCCTCTACCTCCAAAAATGTGTTTCAGCTTCCACCTCTGAGGCTGCTGGCTGGGAGGGCACGTTACAAGGGCAATTTTCTAGGAACAAGAGATATGGTAGGATACTGGGAGAAATAGCAAGGGCTGGAAGCTGACACTGTTCCACTTTTTTTCCCCTTTGCAACTAAGCAGCAGTCCCAAAGTCTGGAAAAGAGACAGCCCCGAGGGCAGTGCTGCTCACGGTGACTCCCAAGGAACTGCTCGGGGGCCAACACCTGGCCCCCGAGCAAGCCGAGCCCAGGACTTTACGCAACCGCAGTACAGAAGTTTACTCAGTAAAATCCCATCATCAGCTGGCACCGGGAGGAGAACATAAACCCAGACAAGAATCAGAGCAACTACCGACCGTGTCCAAGATGAAATGCAAGCGAAGGCAAGTGCCGTGCGTTTCACGTGGAAGGAAGAAACCAGACTTGAACAACTGGGGCATAACTTGTGGGGAAACACCGCGAGGGCCAGTATTCTGAATTCATCAGCACTGCACATACCACATGTAGCAAAATGGGATGTAAGGGAGATGCTGCGGGTTCGTTCTGAGGAGCAGAACCCTGGGAACTGCTGTCCCTGAGACAGACAAGTGACACTGGCTACGCAAGTCGGAAGGTTCTATGCCATTAGTTAAATTTTCCATACTAAAGACTGCAAGATGAGAGAAAACACAGGTGGTGCAACACACAGAGGTGCCAGTAAAATGTGAAAATTAAAAGGATTTTATTGGCTGATGTGTTCTTCCTGAAAACTCACCGAGATGTGCAAACGGGACATGGAGTAACCGATTTGTACATTCCGTATGACACTGATTGCTGTACCGCTTCAAAGAGAGGACCCTACTGTCACGTACAGGATGTTCACATCATTGCAGGTACCAACCGTGCTGATATTACTAGTCTAAAAGTGACGCCAAAATAGACCTGGATGTAGTGGCGCAGCGCTTTGTGCCAACCCTATCGCCTCGGCACACGCTGGTTCCTACAGCCCTGCTGCTCAGGCAGTGAAACATCCAACCAAGTGTGGTCTCAGGTCACGGCCGCTCATTAAACCAAACCCCTTCTCCCAGACTTCCAAGTTATCTGTAGAGATAAATGCATTTAACTGAACCCGAACCCCTGCAGAACGCTCAACCACGTCCCGTCAGCGTCTCTCGGCGAGCCGGAGCTCGTACTTCGCAGAGCTCATTCTGGGTGGAGGGAGCTACCCAAGTGTGCAATGAGTTTCAAGAGGCTTCAGTCCCGGCAGGACAGAATGCCCTCCCCTCTGCCCCCGAGCTACCACCTGACAGACAGCATTACCCACAATTAACGGCTGCCTCGTACGCTCAGAGCTAGTCACGGGTTCAGGCCTGCTGGAGCAGCCAGCTGTGTTTCAGAGCTGCCCCGGGGCTTCAGCGCTCCCCATTTCAGAACACCCACCTTAGTTTTGAGGATCTGTAGCCACTTGAACGCGACACAAAGGCCACAGCAACGGCAGCGCTCCCTCCTGCTGCTGTTACTGCAGCCGGGCACCGTCTCTGTGGCAGAAGGCATTAAATACTGGATGTGGCACGCTCCACCTGCCGAGCTGTCTCACAGAGGAACTCAGAGTGTCTTTGTATTGAATTAACCAACCTTTTAATTACAGGCCTACGTTCCTTTTTTTTCCTGGTACAATCCCAACAGCAAAAGGTCATTTGATTCTGAAGAAAAGAGGTCTCTTTGATAAGCTCCATACAGTACTTTTATATTTCAGACTATGAT